ACAAAGGATAATGTAAAAAAATTTTATTGGTAATTACAGACTTACGTATGAGAATTGAAATAATTAAACTAGTGTCTAGAAAAGAAGTTGACAATTGAAGATGTTGGATACAATCATTGAAAATAAAGGAATGAGTTGCGTCTGAATCATACAGTACATTTAAAGTTTTACCTTTAATAAAACATATACCTTAGATCAAATTATTATTTTGAGAGGCTTCAGTTTCAGTCATGGTATATACTCTTCCTGTTGTCAGAGGTCTTATTTTTTGTGCAAAAGGATTAAAATTTGCTTTTTTGTTGCCGATATTCAGAAAATATATGACCAGATTTTCACACTTGAAACAAACAGGTCCTTTAAGATGAAAATCTTTAGCATAATGATCTTGTCCACACTTAAAACACTTGAGTTGATTATTTACAGGTTTATTAAAATTTCCTGCAGAAAATTGACTAGGTTGGGATCTCTATTGGAGACGGTTATAGGGTTTTCCTTCATTTTGTCTCCTTTTATTTTGTTGGGGTCCAAAATATTTTGGTTTATTATTTTAATAGTTTTCAAAATTTTCCAAAAATATGCACTTATGAATAAGTGTAGGAAAATTAGAAATTTTTAATATTCATGCTGATTTTCTCAATTTAGGCCTAAGTTCATTATCAAATTTTATACACTTCATTCTTTCATCAAGGTTAGGGATGGCAAAAGGGGCTAGGCCCGGTGGGCCGGCCCGCCATCCCGCCATAATATGGCGGGACGGGTTGGTGTTTTCAGCCCACCAGCCCGCTTTGGCCCGCTCCGCCAAACCCGCTAACCCGTCGGGCCAACCCGTGGGACGGGGCGAGCCAACCCGCGGCCCGCCTAATTAATAAAAAAATAATTTGTTATTATAATAAAATTAATTATAAAGATAATATGTAAAGTTAAAAATTTTAAAAAGAGAATTAAAAAAGTTTCATTCTCACGAGAAAATATTCTCCTTCGTGAAACATAACCTTCTTTCCTGTTCTCCTTGTTTATCCTAAGCATCGATTATTTTTATAATTATTACTTGAATTAAAGGTGTAAGAATTACTCAACCAAGAATAATATGAAGTTTTATCAAATAAAAAAGATATAGGTATTTGAATTTTTCAATATAAAAAATATAAATTTTATAAGTTTAACATTATATATATATATATATATATATATATGTTATTATTTATTATTATGTAAATTTTATTATTGTTCTAAATTATAATTTCTTAAAATAATGTATTGATTTATATTATTAAATTGAAATAATATATATATATATATATATATATTGGATTATTGACAAACAAATAATAATCTTATTATTAAATTTATTAAAAAATTATTTAAAAAAAATTATTTTTTTCTAAATTATGGCGAGCCAGCCCGCCAACCCGCTCCTTGACGGGTCGGGCCAAGGTCTACGACCCGTCATGACTATATCGGGCCAGCCCGCCCGCTCCGTTTTTAGCGGGCCAAAGGTGGAGCAGGCCAAAACGGAACAGACTGACCGTTTTTGCCATCCCTAATCAGGGTGATAAAAGAATGAAGAGTATTTTTCTAGCTCTTCAAACTTGGAGGCATATTCTCTTGTCATACTTTCTTACTTCAATAGTATAAACTCTATTTTTTTTGCTCTTCATTAATTCACCTTTTAGTTGTTAGAACAATTAATAACGCGAAATATTTTTTCTAATTCTTTAATTAATAATTCACTCTTTTCTAGGTTATAATCTCTAGAGAATTGCGAAGGTTTGTTTCTACTAAATTCAACTAAACCTTAGGATCAATTGGTTCCTTTAGGTCTTTGATTCCTTAATAATGCAATGGATATGTTTTAGATAGCTTGTACCGTTTCTGTTAACTTATTGTTTCTCCTATTATTTGTCATATGGAATTATACAAGTTAGGATTTATAAAATCTCATGATCATAGGCTCATTTCACATGTCATCCCATGAAAAGTTGATCTGATACCATCTAATGTGACATCCCTTTTTATCACATTATTAATTTAACCATATTTTAAGAAATTATTACTTTCTATTAAGTTTTGACAAAAATAAGATAATAGATAAATGTTTATACAATTTATATTTACAAAGATGTGAAACTTACAAGTTTACATTGTTTCTATATCGAAACAATTATTAAAATTGACAAAAATTTTCTTCTAACAATGGTTGATTTAACAATTATACATGTCTTTCATTTTGATGTCTCCATTTATTTATGTCAATATTTTAATTGTAACATGCATAAGAAATAACAATAGGGAAGTGAAAATAATTATAATTTAAAATAATACAATCTCATAATGATATATAAAATATACTTTTTAACTTCCTCAACATATTTTATTTATTCCATATTATGAGGATTTAAATTAAATTTGTAGTGACTAGTCAGGATAAATGAACCAAATTCTAGGGAGGTGTTCATCCTTAGTGGGTTTCTAAGGAAGTGATTGTCTTTTGAATTAGTTTACTTTTTCTTGAGTTGATTATAATTTGTGAACTAAATTTAAAAGATAGTGAATTGGGGTCACTCTTATGTTAAGAGTTGAGTGAGAATTGAATGTAGGGCTGGTTATACCCGAATATAAACCACTGTATGCTCTTCTCTTTCTCTTATCTCTTTTTCACTATATTGTTCTCTTTACGCCCTTTATCTTTTATCTCTATCTTTTAATATTTTATCTCTCTTATTTATATTGTTTCTACTTTATCTTTGTTCAATTTGATAATTAAAATTGAATTAATAAATATTGGATATATTAAAATAAATTTTTAATTTGTACATCTATTCACTCCACTACATATCATTTATCTAATATATATATATATATATATATATATATATATATATATATATATATATATATATATATATATATATATATATATATATATATATATATATAATCTGTTATGCCATTCAATTTGTGATCCATTAATTTGATTCACCTCAGTATAGTTGATTTCTAGTCCGATTTACCACACTGACTTGAAGACATAATCTCGCTTAAAATATATTTGAGTCTTATTTTTTTAATTTATTTATATTTTATATTGTTATTTGATTAATCATTTTGATATTCTTTATTAGGTTATTTTCAACTTTTATCGGTACATAATTTAGTTGTCTGGTAAAATTAGGTGTTGAAAATTTGAAGGAAAAAAAACGCATTAGAAGGGAAACAATGTATAAAAATGTTGTTATTAATTGTCATTAAATGTGTGAATTAAGAAGTTGGTTACCCATAATAGTACTACCTTCAATAGGATGATCAGCTCTCTTTGATATATATATCTAAGGTTCATACAAAAATATTACCAATAATATTACATATTTTCATAAATAATTACTGTACTTATAAAAAGATTAATTTTAATAACAAATTTCAATAACTTTTTATAAAAGTATGTTTCAAACATATAGTATAAATTAGTTTTAAATTCATTTTTAACAAAATAAGCTTGTAAATTTAAATTTATATAATTTAATTTACTGAAAATTCGAAGTTTTATTTAAATGTTAGGTATTGAATATATATCTCTAAATTAATGGTCAATGATGGGACCATTATAACTATTAAAAATATGAGTTACTAGTTAAACGTTGACATTGAATTAACGGGGAAAGCAGGGTCACCGCAAACTAATTATATATATATATATATATATATATATATATATATATATATATATATATATATATATATATATACTTTTTAAAAAATTATTAAATATAAATAATTTTTTTATTTTTTCTTAATAAATATCTTATTTATTTTTTTACACAAATTTTCTTTTTCCTATTTTTAGATTTTTATGTTTTTCTTAGTTATTCTATTTTTTTCACATATTTATATTTTATTTTTATTATTAATTCACTTTTATATTTGTCTCTTTCAAGGTTTCTCCTTAACATAAAAATGGTAAATTTTTCTCTTTAGTTTTTAATTTTTTCTTTATTGTAATTTCATCTCTATAATATACAAATTTTAACTTCCTGTTTTTTAATTTTAAATTTTTGTTGTCTTCTATTTAAAAAAAAAAACATAAGGTAAAAAGTAAAAAATAAAAAAATATTTTGAAATAAAAAACAGTAAATATTTTTTTTATAATTATAATAAATTAGCATGTATAATATAATAAAAAAATATATAATATTGATATAAATTTAATTATTTATTATAAATTAGTTAATTAATTATACTTTATTTTGATGTTAAAATATAAAACAACGTTTAAGTTTTAAAAATATCTAAAAATAAAATTATAAATTCATTTTTAAGAGAAAAATAATTAAAAAAATTATTTTTAAAAAATTTAAACTTAATTAATAATATTAAACTATAATATATTTATTTTTATATAATAATTAATTTTTATATGATCATAAGATAAACCAAATTTCACATCGTGGAATTAGTAAACGGATACATTAATAACAGTATATCAAATAAAATAATTTTCTGTAATAATTAATTATAAAGTTTATGATAGTTTATAACATTTATTTAATTATAAATGAATTATTTAAACAAGTTCAATAAGTATAATAGTTTATATTTTTAAAGGTTATTTGTATCGAATTTATAAAAATATTTAATTAAAAATTAATAAGTTATTTACACGTTATAAATACAGAAAATAATTGACCACAATCTTAAACATTTATATCTGATAACTGCTATTCAATAATAATAATAATAATAAATTTAAAATCTTATTATTGTTAAAACTATGTTAAAAAAAGGTTGTGACAATATAATTTTTTTTAAATATACAAAATAAATTCCGAAATTAATTTGCTTTTAAAAAAAAAATAAGGGACCTCATAACATTAATACTTACCTGTCTTCTGGGGTATATGCACTCTTTTAATAAGTTAAGAGGTTCCATTTTTGGGTTGACCATGTTTTTCCTATATAATAATGATGATGAAAACAGCTAACAGCATAAGCTAGAAGCCATGAACATGGAAGCTGCCCGAGTAATCTCTGTGAAAACAATCAAAGCATCCACTCACAATTCCTCAGAGATAATCGAGTTAAATCCATGGGATCTCCAATTTCTCCACTATGAGTATAGCCAAAGAGGCCTCCTTTTTCGCAACCAAGAAAACACATCGACCAACCAAATACAGCACCTCCAACACTCCCTTTCCGCAGCTCTCGCCTTCTTTCCACCCCTCGCTGGTCGTCTCGTTATTCTCCAACATCACCAAAACACAGTCTCATCCCATATCCTATGCTCATCCCATATCCTATGCAACAACGCGGGTGTCCTCTTTCTTCATGCTGTTGCACCCAACACCTCCGTTGCTCACATCCTTCAACCCAAATACGTTCCTCCCATTGTTCGCTCCTTCTTTCCATTCAACGGCGTTGAAAGCAACGATGGCACATCACAGTCATTGCTTGCTGTGCAAGTGACGGAGCTACTTGACGGCATCTTCATCGCCTTTGCAGTCAACCACGTCGCTGCTGACGGCAAGTCATTTTGGCATTTTGTGAATTCGTGGGCTGAAATCTCACGTGGTTCCAATAAAATACCCAAACTCCCTTCTCTCCAGCGCTACTTTCCGGATGGCATCCACCGCCCCATACTCTTTCCTTTCGCAAAGAAGGAAGTTTTTCCGCTCCTCGAATCTCAACCGGTACATTGTAGGGTCTTCCACTTCTCTAAGGATAAATTAGCGGAACTCAAATCAAAAGCCAACGCAGAGGCCAACACCAACAAAATATCTTCTCTGCAAGCGCTTTTAGCCCTCTTTTGGCACACTGTCACCCGTTACAGACGTGTTGACCCGCAAGAAAATGTGCATATTGTGTTGATGATTGGCCTTGGGCACAGGATGACTCCACCGCTGGCAGAGGATTATTTTGGAAACTCGTTGGTGCTTGATTTTGTGACCATGAAAGCGGGGGAACTGTTGGAGTGTGGGCTCGGAAAGGGTGCTTTGGAGATGAACAAGATGATTGCTTCGCACTCTCATGAGAAGGTAAAGAACCGCTGTGAGTCCTGGGGGAGAACCCCAGCGGTGCTTTTACCAACGAAAATGGATACCGGAAATATGTTCTTGATTGCATCTTCCCCGAGGTTCAACATTTACGGTAATGACTTTGGGTGGGGAAGACCCGTGGCAGTTCGAAGTGGTGGTGTATTTAGTATCAACGGAATGAGTATGGTATATGCTGGAGCTGAAGAAGGCTCTATTGACATTGAACTGTGCCTTCCTTATGAGCTTTTGGAGGCCATGGGAAATGACCATGCATTCATGGATTTCGCATCCAACTAATGTGCGCAAGACTTCAGTTCCGTACAGTTCCACAATAAATATTACATAATGAATAATAAAGATACCCCAGGTTCTAATTTTCAGTACAAAAATATAGGGTGACACCCTTATCATACAAAAATCTAAACAGCAACTGTTTTTATAATAATAAAAATTTATACTTATATATTTATTATTATTTTATTAATAAAGTAGATTGTTAATTGAATATTGAAAATAAATAGTGGTGTAGAAATATCATCACCTCTTTCGGTAACAGCTCTGATATTATAATGAGAAATGTTGGTTACTTGTTCTGTGTAAGAAATAAACTAGTAAATAATATTTTCATAATTCATTTTAAAAAATAGTTAGTTGACAATAATTTGTAATAATATAATAATAGTTTTTTATTTGACAATCAATTTAGTTATTATTATACATTATTATGAGTGAATTATCAATTATTACTTTTTAAGATTGAGTTGTGAAGCTATCGTTACCCAAAAAATTTGCTGTGTTCCATTAATAGATTGTTCTTTGATTATGTCAAGCCAGTTCTGATAGTTGTACCCCTGATTCCGAACTTGAGATTTTAAGAGGGTATTAAGAAGTGAAGAAGTTCGAGTTTTCAATTTTACCTTTCTGCATATTTTCCTTTGCCTTGTCGAAGATTAATTTCAGAGGTGGATGTCCAATGTAACTATAGGGATGTTGTAGGATACCTTTACCTTTCAAAAGAACCTGCTTAAGACTGAAAATTACCTTACAATGCCAACGCTTGGAAGAAGGAAATTGAACTTGACGAGAGTTGAACGTGAGTTCGTTAAAGAGAAGAATAATTCATGAGAGCAATAAAGAATGTATATAAAAAGTAAAAATTAAGGTTAATGCTTGTGGGCGAGAAAGACTCGATAAATGTATAACGTGGAGAGAAAAAATTGAGTTAATCAAATAAAGAAAGCCTGATTCATTTCATACTTATTCTCTTATTTTTATTTTAAAAAAATCTTTTAAATTTCTATCGATTCGTTTTATAAAATAATTAAAAATAATTATTTTCTATTAGATTAAATATAAATAGAGTAAGGTACCCTTTATATAAATAGATGAGATTATATTTATAGTGATATTTATATAAATAGACTCTATTTATCGAGTCTATTTATATAATCTCACAAAACTATAAATAGAGTATCACTATAAATATTTTCTTGTATAATCACTATAAATAGATGAGAATACCCTTTTTATTTTCTATTGAAAAATTGTGAAATGACCAAGATTTGGATCAAAGACTTGGAATTGTCACGACAGGAGTTATGAAATTGAGAAAAACAAGATATAGATTATACAAATGAGAAAAGACAAGAGATTGAGAAAAAATTATATAATTAAGAGATATATAAAAACTATTATAACTACGTAACGAGATATGTGCGCTTACAGATATTATGTGACAATAAATATTATGTGACAATAAAATGATAGGAGAAAATAGAAAAAATGATTATAAAAAAAATAATAGTTTTGTTTAATTTTTTTATTTTAAGTTTTATAGTGATTATACAAGAAAAATATAAATAGAGTGAAATAAATACAAAAGAATAATTGTCATTAGAAGAAACTTCCATTCTGAAAAATATTGCGAATATTGTACAAATATTTTTAATAGAGTTATTTATAATTTAGATCGTTATTTTTGTGAATTTTCTTTATAAATTTATGTTTTATCCATGATAATGAGTTAGAATTATTTTTTTATAATTTACTTTCTTTATATATTTTCTTTCCATCAATTTATGTTTATTTTACTTTTACCTTCTTTACACTTTCCATTTAAATGTTAAAACTCATATTAAAAATTCAAATTATATAAAATATCATTAAAAATTCTTCTTATCTTAATTATTAAATGATGAGTAGTAACTTAATTAAAATTCTGTAAAATTAAAAAGCATTTACACTTGCTAGTCATAATTTAAAAAAACCTATATAATAATTAAAATGATGCATTGGAAAGGTAAAAAATTATTAATATTAATCAAACAGTGAACAATTTTTCACTAAAAACTAGGGATGGCATAAACCCGTCCCCGTGGGGACCGACCCGTCCCCACCCCGAGTTTGACGGGAAAAACCCGAGTTGACCGGGGACGGGAACAGAGACGGGGCGGGTTCGGGTTTTCCCGCTTTAAAAAATCGGGGCGGGCGGGGATGGGTAATGCAATCCCCACCCCGACCCTGTCCCCGTCCCCGCCCCGACTTTATATTTAAGTTTAAATTTTAAAATATTAATATTCTAAAAGTATTTCCTTTTCTTTTTTACATATAAGGTCATTTTTTTATATTTCACCAAATTTTTTTTTCTTCTACCCACTTTTTAATTTTTTTATCTTTTTTAATCTTTTATATCAATTAATTTATTACATTATTCTTTCTCTTACCTTTCAGTTTTTCGCATCTCCTTAATCTCTCCCATCAATTTTTTTTCAATCTTTTCAACCAATTTGATGAACACAAAGTTAATTTTTTTTATTCTTTATCTTTTTCTAAATATTTTACATAAAGTAGTAACTAATATTATTTTATTTATAATTTATATTTATTAGGTTTTATTATGTCATATTTTTTTATCTTATTATTCTTATTTATCTTATATCAAATTTTATCTTAATAAAATAATTATATTTTAAAGGATTAAAGGAATTGATAATTTAAATTTTTATTACTTCGAACTAATTGAATAAGAATTAACTTATTAAATATTTCCTTATAAACAATATATTTCATATTTTTAAATGACAACTTAAAAATGAATTAACTTATATATTTAATCAAATGTTTGAATACAATATTATAATAATAGTGTTATAAATATTCAAATATTTGAATACAGTGTTATAATAATAATAATATTATAAATAAAAAATGATTAAATATTTCTTTTACATACACATTTTAATATAAATATAATAAATTAAAATGTATATTTAATTAATAATAATTATAAATTATAAATATTTATTTATATATAAATAATAGATAGTAAAATTAATTTATTATAAATGTAATTATCTTTTTAAAAATAATATAAATCGGGGACGGGACGGAGGCGGAAACCCGAAACCCAGCTGGGTCGGGACTTAATTTCTAACTCCGGCGGGGATGGGGCGGAGACGAGGATGATTAAAAAGACGGGGCGGGAATCGGGAGGCAAAACCCGCCCCGCCCCGTCCCGTTACCATGCCTACTAAAAACACAACCATAACAACTCTTATAATTTATCCCAAACAACAAACAATTTTCATAAAAAGGACAAGATGTTTAGGAAATTCAACCACCATATATAGGAACTAAAGAAAATGGAATCATGGAGAATGCCATGCAGAAAACACGTGACAATATGATCAAGTTTGATAAATGAAATTGAGAATTTTTTCACTTGCATTTATCAAGTTAAAGATAAAAAAGAGAGAGATGAGTTTCAAACTATTTTTCTTTAAATTTAATGAATCCTTATCAATATTTAATAAATTTAAACTAATCTAACCATTTTTTAATAATAACAAAATAACTTTAAAAATAAGAATTTAAAGCAATAACATTTTATTATTAAATATAAAGATTATATAACTATATTCCAGTATTTGTACCAATTAATTTACCGTAGGGTATATTAATGATGTGTTCACTCATTTTTGCATGAAATTGATGTAATGACTATGCTATTAACTGTATAAGTCATTTCTATAATTACAAATTTTAATTTTATGCATATCTTTAAAATAAAATTTATTTTTATGATACTATTAATTAAAATAAACTAATTAAACTACTTTTGTGGTATTTTAAAAATGAAATACTTGTTTCTTTTATGAAACTTGAGGTAGTATTGATGATATGGATGGATTCATAAAAAAAAATAATAATGATGGATAGATTAGTTAAATTTTTATCAAGTAGAATTTTTTTATCAAATAGATTAATTTTTTAGAATAACTTTTTAATAAATTAAAATAAAAAAAAATAAATTATATCCCAATAATTCATTTTGTCACGCTAATACTAGTTACTAATAGAACTTGAAAATCTGTATATGAAGCTGGTCTCAAAGTTGAACAACCAACAGCCCTCCCTAATAAGGTAATCAAAACCCTAAACACTAGATGCCAAACTTGGCTTCTCTTGGAAACTAAGTTGTCATAAACTTTCTTTGTAGAATAAAAGTGAATAATTGTTGAATAAAGTTTTTAATGATTTTAATTAAACAATTTTTGTTGTTAAAATAAAAGGATAAGAGTGAATAGTTAGTTTTAGGAATCACTATAATAAATTTGGATTATAATCTATTAATAAAATTTTAAGTAAAAAATCGTAAATTTCCAACTGATTTTTATCGATGAATTTATAGTCGTCGAAAAATGAGTCATTACCGATAAAAATTACCGACAAAAATTATCGACGGATATAAAGCATAATTTGGTCTTACCGACGGATATATCCGTCGGTAAATTAACAATTATTTACCAATGAATATTTATGTCGGTAAATCATAAATTAATAATTAGTTACCGTTGGATATATCTTTCGATAAAATTATATAATAATTACTTAATATATTATAATAAATTAATTATTTATCTAATTAAAAATTATATATTTTTTATTTAATAATTTAATTTAATCATAATTAGATTAGTTTATAATAATTTATTAAATTAAATAAATTTAAAAAATAAATATTTAATTATATATAAATATATCAAAATAATAAATATATTTATATTTATATATTTACATGTATATATATTTATTTATAAATTATTATAAAAAAATTTAATAACTTAATGATTAAAATATCAATTTCCTATTATAAGATACTGTTCGAATTCTACCGGTAAGAATTGTTGAATTATTTGACGAAAAGAGAGGACTCTAAGATGGTAAAAGGGAGACCCTTTAAAGAAGGAAGGTAGTTGAGGTCCATGTTGAGGGGGACCAGAAGATGTTAGTTGTTG